AAACGCTGCCTCTGTTGCTGCTCGCGCCTCCCGCTGCTCGTCGCTCTTGCTCCCGCTCCCGTTGCTCACCGCTGTCGCTGCTCGCAAACGCTGCCTCTGTCGCTGCTCACGCCTCTCGCTGCTCGCCGCTCCTGCTCCCGCTGTCGCTGCTCGCAAACGCTGCCGCTGTCGCCGCTCGCGCCTCCCGCTGCTCACCGCTCCTGCTCCCATTGTCGCCGCTCGCGCCTCCCACTGCTCGCCGCTGCCGTTGTCGCTGCTCGTCGCTCGCCGCTGCCGTTGCCGTTGCTCGTCGCTCGTCGCTTCCACTTTTCTCAGTCAGCAGGCTCAGCATCCCTTTACACTTCCTTTTAACAGTATACGTATACTGTATACTGTTAATATTATTAAGTTTATTTAAAATAATTAATTTTCAATACTGTTAATAGATTAATAATATATTATTTTGATTTTAATACTGTTAATTTTTATTTATTTGAAATTATTGCTAGGTTTCTTAATATTGTTAATTTTATATCTTAGATTTTCTTAATTGAATAGCATATTTTTATTTAAAATTTAAAATAATTAAATTTATTAATTATATTATATATTTTTATATTTTAGCGCCTCGCTTCGCTTGGGCGAGCGCCTAGCGCCTCGGGCGTTTTTGGACCTTGGCTCCTTTTGGCGCCTAACGCTTTTTAAATCACTGGTTTATCCATATATGTAATTCAACATATGAGATAATTGGTACAATTTAGTGTGGCAAACAGTGTTCTCTGCACATTTAACGGTGGACACTTCTATGCTAGAGAGTAAGCATAGTAGGTGACTTATTTTATGGAACATGCACCTTTTTTTATCCATCCTACTCATATGTACTTGAGAAAATTTGTTGTAGGCCTGGAATATGTGTTGGTACTGCTTTGTGAAATTGTTCTGTAGATGGAATCCTGAGAATCTGATCATACTGCAAACTCCTTGTTTTGACCAAATACCCCATGGTCTTTTCCTTGACAGCTACCCCATGTTCAATGACAATAATACTGTGCAGGACCTCAAAGATTTTATGAAATCACTTTTTGAGTTTTCAGTTTGGATGCAGCAATATATACTATTACCAGTAGTCCCATTTATCACTCTACATCTCTTCCATGTCAATGCATATGGGTGGCCGGTGCTTGCTTCATTTTATTACCATAACGACAGAAACTGCAGCTTGTTTAGTTGACATTCTTTAATGTTGTAGCTTTATTGCTTATTGAAACAAATAATTACACTGTTTGCACTAAAATTGACACTGGTTCAGATAGGCATAGTGGTCAATATTACAGTTCTGTATCTTGTCAAGCTAGCAATTGTATTTTGCTTAAAAGTAATTATTGCATCAATATACTCGGTGATGAATAAAATTTTATCCATGTCAAGTACTAGCTCACTCTTGGTATCTTTGTTTACATGTCTCACTCAGAAATGAAAGTAGTAAGAAAGAAAAAGGAAAGGGCAAAGGAACTTGAAGGCATTGACATGAGTAACATAGTCTCAAGTTCTCGTCGGAGAACATCATCAAGTTATATTCCTCTACCAAAGCCTAAAATAGAAGTTGATAGTGATGAGGATGACGAAGATGAGGAAAATGAGGAAGACACTGATGATGACAATGAGGATGATGTTTCAGGTTCGGGTGGAGAATCTGATGAAGGTATGGGTTTCTCATTATGACTGACATTTCTTTTTCATGACGAACAATTTGAATTGATGTGTGGGTCTGAGGAAATTTATGAAGTTCTTTTTCTGGTGCACTGGAAAAGGGAGAAACCGACCTTTTTTAAGTTTGTGTAGTCATGATCTAAATCTCTCATATGTTGGTTCTCTCTGGTCTTGCCTATGGTAATCTGGGGCTGAAGCTCTGGTGGTATGAGCACTGCCTCTCTAGGGATGGTCCACTTGTTGGAAGTAGACTGCGCAGTTGAAGCAACACAATTGTTTAAATTAGATGCCATTGTAAAATTATGAACACTATAAAAATGGTTCCAGTGATTCTTCTTGCTACTTGTGAATAAATTCTGGTGCTTGTTCTAACAGAAGGACAGTTAATCTTGTAACTTCTTAGCTTTCAGAGCTTTTCTGAATTCCATGTCCTCAACATTAGTCAAGGAAAAAGATTTTTACTGAACACCTGAAAAAGGTATACTTGATATTGTTGACTGTAGTTTGAGCAAAATAATGCTATTGCTTTATTTCTTTTTTTTTTTAGTCAAGTGGGTCACTGTTTTACTCTCGTCTGTGCAGACTCCTCTCTGGCCCCACCTACTGTTGTCTGACTGTTTTACTTGCTCATGTAACTGTAGTTAAGAATGTGAGGATAAACAGCCAAATTGAAAACAAGTCTATGCACAGTATTATTTTTGCTGAAAGCTTGATATCCTGGTTTTACATGTTGAACTGTTGAGGTCGTGTAGCTGTTTTTTCTCTCAACATTTTCTCACAAAACTTTGTAGCAAGCTTGATCAAAATTTTTTTAACAGTAAATTGGTACATGCATGTTGTTTTCTTCTGAGAAGGTTATATGTGCTGCGTTATCACATGCAAATATTTTGTTATAGTCCTTTGTTATAGCTGACATCATATGCTGTTTTTTTCACAGGTGATGAGGATGAAAGTGATTGAGGTTCTCTTTTAGGCGTTGTTCAAATGCTTTCTACAAGTCTAGTTTAATATATAGGCACACTCACCTTCTTCTCGATGTATTTTCTGAATTGAGTTGGTGATCCTGACCGAGTGTGGGCAGTCACCCCTTCCAGCGTGATTAGAAAAGCAGTCTTTGCTGTCAAAGATATGTAGCTAATTTTGTTCGGCTGTCATTTGTAATCTTCGTCTAGTTTACATCTCTTCCGGGTGATTTGGATTATTTATTGGATGGGACCATAATTTGGACTACTCTGCCGTCTATATAGATCAATCGCCTGCGAGAAGATTGTAGCTGTCAGAGAATTATTTGCAGGTGTTTCGAAGCATTTAATGGCACTGCCGTCGTTGAGTGCACCAGCTACAGCAGTTTTCACCCACAAAATTTATCGGCACTTCACCGACTGTCTCGCAGTCGATATGGTAAGGTGGTAAGGGTAGCCTCATGGACTTATTTATTTTGAGTTTTTTCTACAGTGTTTTATTTTATTTTTTGAAAAAGAAGAAAATCCTCTTAATTTTTGAAATAGAAGAAAATCATTTCAACCGCAAATATGCAATCCGTTTCACTCTTTAATTGAAACTGATTTAAATTGATATTATAATACTAATAAAATGAAGAGTATTTAAACTATATGTTTGAATTAATAAAAATTAAAAGATAAACATATTATAAAAATATGATGACATGTAAAATAATACTCGAATAAAATAATAAATTAATTAAATTAATCCGTGAAATTTAAACGGTTATCAAAAGCAATTTGACTATGCTAACGTGTCAAATAGTAAATGATCAATGTTGATTAAAATAATACAAGATAACTGATATAGTTGAGTCATCTAAGTAAGGTAACAAAAATAATAGTATTTAAGATATTATATCTTTAAATTATTAAAGATTAACATGTTGATGTAAAAATAACGCAAAATAATTAGATATTAGGAAATGTTTTAAAATAAAAGAAACATTCATATCACGATTTCTGTTAAACACACAGTTCAATAGTATTAGTTAATATTCTAAATTAAATAATAAAATTGTGAAATAATTAATTCAAATTTAAGGTCTTAATACAATCTTTTTCTTTTGCTAAAAAAATTACTAGTGAAATTAAGCTAGAAAAAAAAAGGTTCTAAAATAAATATATTTGGAAAGCAGCTAAATGCCACGGTTATGACACCAATTACCACGCTAAATGCCATGGTTGAACGCGTCAAGTGACTTCTCGATGGTTGTGCAGTTATTTCTTTCCGGACTCGTACTTGGAATCCCAGTCACCAAAACCCTAAACCTGGCACTCGGCAGACCCCCACATCCCCCGCTACGCCCAGCCAATCCTCCGAACCGATGGCCGGCGATCCCTCTCCCGACGGTCCTAACGGCCGCCGGAAACGCAAGGCGGGGCGCCCGGCTGCCGTGGATTCCCCCGGCGGCGGAGCCGTAGCATCCAGTTCCCAGCGCCGGGCGGCCGTCGACGACGCCGTGGTGCTCCTCCGGGGAGCTCTCGAGTTTCGGCGACGGACGGGCCTGCTGCCGAGGCCGTCGAATATGCCCGCCTTGTACGAATCCGTGAGAGGCTCGCTTCGCTCCCCCGTCTCCCAGGACCAGGTCTACAACAAGCTCCGCCACCTCCGTCACAGGCTCAGCCATCCCGTCGCCAGCGGTCACGGTTCCCACGATGACCTCCTCTATGAGCTCGCCGCGGAGCTCTTGTCCGCGGGCGTGGAAGAGAAGTACGAGAAAGAAGATGATAAGAAGCAGAAGGACAATGAGGTGGAGGAGGAGAGTAAGGATGCGGAGACGGAAGGAGATGATGACCTCGACAAGAAGCAAGGCCGCAATGGGGACGAACAGCGCGGTGGACCTGAATCCTACCCATATCTGGTCCACGCCGCAGCCGAGCACTGGAAAGCTCACAGCTTATCGAATTCATCACTGGAGGCGGGTCTCAAGCTGCTGAATCCATTAAAGGCGAAAGCTTTAGAGGATAGGTGGAAGAAGCTGGTGGAAGATGAGATGAAGTTCCAGGCGGATTGGTTCATGGCGTGCAGGGACATCTTCGCATTGCTGAATCAGTCGCATCAGGGTATGAACTCTTTGATCAGGTTGGATGCTTCCATGGAGGATCCTTTTATTTCCCTTTGAATGAGCAAAGTTTTGGATATGGATTGGTTTCCATACTTTGGTTGCTCGTCCTGTTATTTCTCTGTATGATCTGCAGGAATTGAGCTCTTTATTATGCTCATGAGTTTGATCTTATGGTTTTCAAGCTCGATTGCAATAGAAGGGAAGGCTAAAATTTGGGTTTAAACATTCTAAATTCAATTAAGAATGTTACCATATTACATAGTTCAACGACTAAGATCTTGGAGTTGGAACTGATGATTTGGTTTCTCTGACTTTTGTTTCCCATGTTGATTTCCATGACTCGGAAAAGGCTTGTTTCAAACAGGTGCACTCAGGAGGACTGTGCCCCAAGTAGCTTACATCAAAAAAGATGATCTCTATTCTCTACAAGCATTCATCATTGCTGTCATCAATGGTGATGACACAAATCGTTCCATTCCCAATGCTTTCCAAAGGTTTCATCCTTCATCAACATCCCTTACCCAAGGATTAATAGCCACAAATCCAAAACCAGGGGTGGTAAAGCCCCCCCCGTGTCTTGGATAAGCTCCAGCATTTGCAATCCTATGGTGAGCGCACCCACCACCGAGGCCTCATCAGACTTCACTGACTCTTTACCTCCATTGGTGTGTTCATCTCAATGGAGAAAGCATCAGCTCCTTAAACAACCTTCTCTTATTGAGCCATGTCTCCTTTGACCACATCTAATGGCCTCCCTTCTTCCTTCGTTGAGACCACTGAGTCTGAGTTGTGTGGTCAGCGGAGTACGTACAGGAGATGTTTCTTTGCGATACAAGGCTTCAGTCAGCTTTCTGTGAGTATGGGGGGAGTGAGAAGAGGATGGGTATCATCGGTGAGGCATGGAGGAGCGTGAAGCCGTACTTGGTCATGGTCTTCTTGCAGCTCGGGTATGCAGGCATGTTCGTCGTCTCAGTCGTTATTTGTAATGGTATTGTCTGAATCTTCTCATCCAGGCCAGTGCTTGACCAAAACTTCTACTACATAGGCACCAAGTACACCTCTGCAAGCTTCTCCTCTGCTCTTTACAACATACTGCCTGCGGTCACCTTCGTAAGCGCCATCGTGTTAAGGTAAAAGCTCGAATCGCCGTAGTTTTCACGCGTTGATGTGTTTGATCTCCACTGCTATATGAACTGCATGCATCCATGAGTAGAATGGAGAGGGTAAAGATCAAGGAACGACGCAGCCAAGCCAAGATTGTGGGGACGCTGGTGACGGTGATCGGTGCAATGATCATGATACTGTACAAAGGCCCCATCGTCGAGTTCATCTGGAACAGAGGAAGAAGCCACCAGGCAGCGTCTGCAGGCCAGAACGATGATGCTCACTGGCTCGCCGGCATATTCATCCTGTTGTTTAGCTGCCTCTGCTAGTCTGCATTCTTCATATTGCAAGTAATCTACCGAATTTCTTGATCATATCAGAGAAATCTCGATCCATTTTGGTGACTGATACATGGCGATCATTAACCTGACGCAGTCGAACACCTTGGAGTCGTACCCCGCTGAGATTTCGTTGAGCACCTTGATCTGCGTTACGGGCACAGGACTCGCTGCTGCATCGCTCTCGTCATGGATCGAGGTGCCGAGCCATGGCGTATAGGATTCGACGCCAGACTCTTCACCGGCGGTCTACTCGGGAGTGATGTGCTCGGGAGTTGCGTATTACTTGCAGGGGGTGGTGATGAAGGAGAGAGGCCTTGTGTTCGTGACGGCCTTCAACCCACTCTGCATGGTCATTGTGGCTGTGATGGGGTCTATCATTCTCGCGGAGGAGATCTCTCTGGGGAGGTAAGATTTCTCTCTCATCATTTCAGCTGTTGCAGAGATCTCGAGCTCATTCCATTTCTCTTGGAGATTCGTAGGGTGATTGGTGCAGTCATCATAGTGATTGGTCTGTATGCTCTTATACGGGGGATGAGCAGTGATCGCTCCACCCAGCCATCAGAGGACGGTGAAATGATACCACTGTAGACATTGCATCCATGAAGAAACCGTGAGGAGTCGATGAACAGCTTTACCTTGTACTATATTTGAACTGGTCATCAATAATTCTTCTAAAATATAATATATTATTTTATATAAAGACTATTATTTTATATGTTATTTCATATGATCAATCGATCAAGAAAATATTATAATGCAGCACAAATATATTATATTACAATTTTTAAATATTATTTAAAATACTATAACATAATAAAAAATATGATAAGCACAATTTTTTTATAATATTTGTATAAAACACTATGTTCTAATATTTTTAAATTGATATTGCTGAAAATATTATAATATAATATGAAAAATACTAATCGGTTCATTATATTTTTAGATTGCCATTAAAAAGGTAGATGATTAGAGTATCATAGGCATTAGATTAAAAAAATTATTATTAGATATTTCTGAAAATAAGAACACTAATTGAGAAATATTAAAAAATATTTGAAGTATTATTATGGTTTAGACATTTGTCACCAAATATTTGAAGTGAAATATTAAAAATATAAAAAATACATTGATAAAGAAAATAAGAAACATATTGGAGAAGGGATAATTACACGTAAATCCAATTCCCAGTAGGGGCTTATTTGGAAAAAACAGCTAATACAAGGGGGTTTCTGCATATTATTTCCTTTCCGATGCAATTCGAGTGCGAGCCCAATCCGATGTTTTGATCTTAATTGGCTCGCTCGTGACTTGATCTGAGCTGACTCATTCGTCCAATTGCGTTCGCGTTCGATTCAATTTAGATGCGTATGTATGGAGAGGGAGAGGGAGAGAGCGAGCGAGCATTCGGGAACTGAAACTTCTGGAGAAAGAGGAAGGAGAGAAGAAGGAATGAGGACGAGGGACGAGACGGTGATCTTGCGGGCCGAGGCGGTGCTGCTATGCTCCGTCGGGCTCCTCGCTGCATGGATGCCTACCGCGGCGGCGCTATGGCTCAGCCTGCCGACGTCGGGAACGAAGTGCGTGTCGGAGGAGATTCACGCCGGCGTCGTCGCCATGGCCGACTACGCCGTCATCCACGACGACGATCCCCGCAACACGCCCACGATCTCCGTCAAGGTGCCTGAATTGCTATGACTTTGTTGCATAATTGTGGCTTCTTGTTCGAAATCTGCACATAGAAGAGGTATCCTTCGGTTGTTAGTTTGGTTAAGCATGAACCTCCAGGAGTGGCGGGTGGATACATTGGATCAAGAACTTTGACGGCGATTTCACCTCTGATAGGGTATACCTATATGAAAGGAAAAGCTGAAATCTTGGATCAATCGTTCGTTTAGGTCTTTTCGTTTTCTTTACGAAACATCGAAATCTCACAATATGGTTGATCTGGTTTACCTCGATAGAATCATGACATGTACTCCACAATTAAGTCTATGTCAATTGGATGAGAGGTTAATATTTAGGTGGAGATTTTTTGAGATGTTATGAGATATGTCCAAAGTCACATATCACCAGAATCATGCATGTGGTTCTCTTTTAATAAAGATTTTGAGCGCCATTGTTTTGGTAAATAAATTAATGAGAGTCAATTTTACGTCGAAGGGATTGCAATAATAAAGATTTCTGGAATTGGTTGTCGATCTGATTTTATGGTGTCACATATGTTTGTTTATCTTTTCTTATGATATATGTTTCACCATGTCATTTGCATGATTATGATTGAACAACAGTATAAATTGTGTTATTCTTATCCTTTTAGGAAACATGTGGTTTATGTTGAGTTGATCGACAAATTGGTTCACAACTGTGGGTGTAATAAAAAAGGTGGTTTGAATTTCCATAAAAAAATCAACCAGTTAACTGATGCAAGATGGTATTAGAAAATATCTAACAATTGTGAATGGCCATGTGAATTTTAAGAAGTCATTACAAACAAAACCGTCTGAAGATTGATATTGAATTTTAAACATTGTATATGTTTTTTTAATTTGATAAGCACTTCAGTCTCTATTTTCTCAAACAACAAACACATTTTACATCTTGAGATTCAGGAAAAATGGGTTACCATAGAACACTTAGTGAAACTTGCTCACAGCCAGTCAAATTGTTCTGCAAACCTGCTCTGTAAACAACTGTAAAGAAGTTACTTCATGAGTAACTATTAAAGAGAGTCAGAAACATATTTGCATTGTTTAACCTCATCTTCAATCTAATGGTCAAAGGCTTAGAATGAGATAGCACAAAATGCATGATTATATTTGAAATCATTATGCACAGTGTAGGTTATGCACCTCTGAGGCACTGTACACTGTGTGCATTGGATGACATAGTTGTTATACCTCCATTAAACTTTTTTTTTTTTCCACCCCCTTTGTGTATGATCCGAAAACTTATTGGACTTACATGGATGTAGCATTGAACTTTTCACTGGAATATCAAAGGTGATAGAGATGATGTTCGGTAGAAGATAGTGTCAAAGATTGATCTGTTCATTTTCAGGTGACAGCACCAAACGGGGACACACTTCATCATAAAGGAAATATTACGATTGGCCAGTTTGCATTCACTTCCAATGAACCAGGGACCTATCTGGCATGTTTCTGGCTGGATGGTGCTAACAGAGGTGCCGGAACAAGTGTTGGCATCAACTGGAAGATTGGGATTGCTGCAAAGGACTGGGAATCCATTGCTAAAAAGGAAAAAATTGAGGTGGCATCTTGGTTATAACTAACCCATATGTTCCGATGTAAATATCTCTTTCTAACAGTTTCTTCTTTGAATCTGCAAAGGGTGTTGAGCTTGAGCTGAGGAAACTAGAAGAGGCTGTTGAGGTGATCCATGAAAATTTGTTGTATCTCCGGAACAGGTAAGTCTTGTTGCTCTCGAGCACATAAATTATGTTGTTGCGAAAATTCTGTGTGGTTGAATACAACTCATGAATCATCCATTTTGTTTTCTGAATCCAGGGAAGCCGGCATGAGAGATGTAAGTGAGAAGACGAATTCTCGTGTGGCAATGTTCAGTTTCATGTCCCTTACCGTATGCATTTTGGCTTCTGTCGTGCAGTTGTGGCACCTAAAAGGTTACTTTCACAAGAAGAAGCTAATCTAGATTTATAGATATATGATCTATAACATCTCAACATGCGGATTAATCCATTCATTTTTTATTGAACATGGGTTGTAACACCCCATTTTGGGAGCTGGTGTTAAAACAATCTATCATTCACTGTAATTTCTTTTATGCTTCTAACAAATGTTATCTTGTTTTCTCTCTGGTACTTGTGTGCTAAATGTTCTAGAATTCTAGTAGCTTATATCCTTAATGCTTTCGGGAACTTAAGCAGACAAAGCTGAATGCAAATTCTGTAGTCAATGGAGAGAAAAGCTACATGGGTTCAAGTGGAGAGAAAAAAAGAGAGAAGAATACCTGACACTAAATGTGCTTGAAACTTAATGGTTGTAATAGGATTTTGGTTGTGTAGAATTGCAATGGGGATATGGAATTTGGCTAAGATCACCATTCTTGAGGTTAGCAATGTGCATAATTATCAGTCTTTATCTTTGAGTTCATCAAGTTGTGGACATGGTGGTCTTAAGTTTTCCCTGTGCTGGAGAGTTTCCAAAGAGGAGGTCTGACATGAAAAGGATTATAATTAATGTAGTATGAGTAAGAACCTGATTTATCTAGGAGAAGAAACTGAGTTAAATTCATGAGCTATGAGTAATATTTTGAATTAGAAAGATTTGCCCTGATAATCCCCTGTGCATTAAGTCTTTCTCAATGATTCAACCTGAAGTGCAAATTAAACTAGAATTGTAATTAAATACAAGTAATTTTAGTTCTCAATGCTCAATACTTTTTCTCAATAATCCTTTTTCACAAATAACATCACCTTTTTAATTAGGAAGTAAACATTTTGATGCTTGCATTATTATATTGCACTTTATGATTCTTCATGAATTTTTATTTTAATCATAAATTAAAAGTAATTCAAACCTAATAAGTTGTATAAAAAAAGATCCGACCCGTTAGTAAGAAAGATAGTTCAACCCATTCCATACCCGACCCCGACCAATTGCTAATTTTCGTCTGTGGCGGTAGGTCCTTCAATCAAAAGGCAGGTAATCATTACGGGTAAACCTTGTTGGTGGGTACACGGAAGTATCTTCGCTTTGTTGTATACACGAGTCATCTTCCCATGCGAATGGAAATCAATCAAATCACAGCGGTCCAAATCCCTCGTCGCATCGAAGTCTCGCCTCCGGTTGCAATTGCGACCGCATCGTCTACGAAGAAGAGGAAGCCGCAGCCGCACGAAGAAGAATCCATCGCCACGACCGGGAAGCAGAAGCCCGGCGACCAGATTTATGAGATTTTCCAAGGAAAGAAGGCTAAGAAGAGCATGACTACCGCCGCCGGCCGAGAAGAAGAAAAACCACAGAAGACAGGAAAGAATCAGGCTCAGGGAACAGGGGAGGGTGGTAGCGGTAAGAATATGAAAGATAAGAGGAAGAAGAGGAAGGAAGTGGCTTTGGACGAGGGGCCCGAGTCCTAGGCGGAGACGGCGGACCGCGGACGGGCTCACCGTCTACTCCGCCGCGGAGCTCGGTTGGGGGAACCCGGACGCGGGCGGCACGCCTCTTTGCCCCGTCTACTGTTCCTGCTGCTTCTGATGGTTTGAAGATCTCAAAGGTGGCACATTCTTCTTGTTTCTTATCGTGGCGTTTGCAAGTTCCTAAATTTATGCTGAGGGACGTGGTTTTATTTGGTCATTCAGGTTTTGATGTGTCAAGGTTGAAAGTTTTGGCAATTATATGAACAGAATTGGAGCTCTGTTTCGAATCGTTTTTATATTCTCATACTTCTTTGCTGGTATTAAGATCTCATCGGTTATTTGCACAGAGTAGTTTTAAGAGGAAATTGGCTTCTTTGGAAGTCACTTCTTAAGCTACATGCTCTGCAGCCAGTTGAGGAGAAGTAAACCATAGAAGAAGCACATATTGTTTCTTGTAGTCACATATCAGTGCATGTTTGATCCATATTGACAAGTACATTCTGAGGTTGGACAGTGACAATGGTGTTGGTGGAGGGCTTTGATATACATGGCGAATATATCTTGCAAATTGTGGTGGTGCTGTAAACCTTAGATTATTGTACTTGTAATCCATTTTCAGCATCTGAAAAGACAAAATAAATGAATCAAGATGACTTTCACACCCCTTTTTCTTTCCTCTAGGCGAATGTGTCCACAGGTGAACTTTAGCATTTAGTAATTGAGGATTCACCCTTAGTTTTGAATTTTATCTTATCTTATTTTTAAGTGATGAAGCATGTGAATATTTGGCATGTATGGTTCACTTGGGAGATCAGCTTCTTTGAAGTGAAGGTATGCGGTTTTCTTTTTTAACTTCTCATAATAGTGCACTGTATGAGAAGTGAGTTAGAGAACAGAGAGCACTTATTTAGTTATGTAGTGTTTTCAATGATAGATTTAACTGAAGTTGCTGTTCTGGCTTCCCTTGCTTCACAACCTGTCAATCTATCAATAACATGCTTGGTCAGAGCCCACACTCAGCAATTCATGGAGAATAACTTCTTTTAAACAGCTTCATGATCTTGACCGCAAAACCTGAGCATGGATCAGTTCTTCACATGTGTTGTGCATATAATAAAATTTATATGCAATTCCATTGTGAGTGGTGACCTCCAAATCAATGAAGCTTGTAAGGTGGATTCCATATGCTTGAAATGGGTTTGGAACCATGAACAAGTGAGATTTATCTTTGTCCTCTGTTGGGCTTATTCTATATGCTGGACATAACATCGTGTGTAATGATGCATCATGTTGTCACATTATATTCCAAAATATGCAACCTGATTGCTCTGCCTTTGCTTACTTGATTGACCCTGTGTGACTTGTTATTGCTCTGATTGAAATATTTGTCATTTAAAGAAAACAGGCAAAAAAGATGGTGGATCACTCTATGGTTATGATGGCATGTTGTTAGGCAAAAATCTGTGGGTTCTTTCTAGTTGCATTAGTAATGTAGTCTTATGAATTTATTTTCAGTTGTTTTGATAAGTTAGATTTGTAAACCATAATATTTTTTATTGTACCAAAAACTCTGGAATAATTTCTGTGATCGCAAACATTGGCCACTTGATAATTGATTAGTTTACTTGCAAGTTAGTGACAATATTTAGTTATCTTCCTACTGCCATGTCTGGCAAAAGGGTTTCTTCTAGGCGTGAGCATGATCAACTGTTTGTGAATCTGATGGTGATAAAAAATATGATGTAATTGAAGAATGACCGAAAATGCCGTATGTTTTGGTATTTTTATCACAGCAAACGCTAATATAGTTTTCTTAAAGCTTTCTTGATGGGCATCCGTTATGACATTGGGTGACAGCAAGCAATCTTTTTAAAACAGCTTGCTTAACTCCTGTACTTAATCATTATTCTACTTAAATTCCATGGACTTTCACCTTCTTTGGATGTCTCAATTCTCATTTTTATCCATGTTGTGGAAGACTAAATCTTATTGCATTGCATGACAACTGTAATACCATGGTGCATCATAGTTTCTTTTGCTGTGGTTCACATGGGGGCATAAGATTGGCTTGCACCTTCTCTAGATGAAGCCAACATGGTCATGTGAACTAAATATTGTCCATCTTCTGTGAAGCTGTCATGTGATTAGCATGAACATGAAGAATTGTGCCCGGCATTGTTCAAAGATTAAGAAACACTTTTAAGGTACCACAGTTAATACCAAAGGCTCTCTCCATCTCCTGATGGACTATGTCTCACAACTCTATGATGACTAACCCTGTACTTTTAGTTGGATTCTGTTGCTGGCTCTCAGTAAATTGGTTGCATAGAACCCTTGTGGACATTAGCAGTTGTAGCTAAATGATAATATGATGATAGCATGTAGTCAAACGATGTATATTTTGACTGAAAATAATAAAAAAATCAAATATTAGCTCATTTTCAGATTTGTTATTAAAGGTCTGAAAACTATTAGTACTTATAGCAAATAATAAGGTCTACAAGTTTGATTATACATTTTAATGAAGTTTATTTGTATTTCTGGTGCTACTAACTCGCTAGCTTTTGCTTTGCTTGCTATCTTTCTCAAGATTTTCATTATTCTATATAATTGTCTGGGACACTCTTTAAATAGCACTTTCCTAACAGACATATTATAGCACAACTATTTTGTGTCATGCTTCAAACTACTGGAAAAAAGTCCTGCAGCTGCTGCAGGAATCATTTGTCCAGCGGATGAGCTTGGTTATGATCAGGATCAAAAGTAGTAGTTTATTTAGATAGAAAACAGTATGGCCTTGTGAACTTCTTACTTCTTAGCCTACTGAATTACATTGCCCCACGCATCTTTCCATGAATGATGAATATGGCCTCCTAGCATGGAGCTGCACTTTTGGGTGTTTTATGGCAGCGCTTAAACCCGATGTTTGGAATTGAATTACAGTATATTATAGTCACTTTATCTTGAGATTCTTCAGATGTTTGTTTGGGGAGGTGATTTACAGTCTGAGCACAATCTATAGTTTGTTGATTGTTTATCAATACTCAGTCACAAGTAATTAGGGTACTATCTTTGCAAGTATGCACATTTTATACGGCTATGGTTGCAGAAGAGTTGCACCTGAACATTACATAATTTACATTGGTGTTAGGATGCTCAGTGGATGATCTGTCCAATCAAAAGATGGCATATCAAATTGGTGAGTCTTTTTCTTCTTCAATATCTGCAATGAGCAGCTAACTTCCAATATATATTGATTAGTGATGTTCATGACTGACATGACGAACATGGTCCAGTGAACAATTTTTCTCACAAATTTTAATTTAGTGCTTCAACTTACACGACTGCTGCATCTGTTTTTGTTTTCTTTTAGCTGCACCCATGGGTTCATCAAACAAGCCATGTTAATGTGGAGAGTTTTTTTAGTCAGACATTGAGCCCTTGTAACAGCTCTTTATATTATTTCTGCAGCACTGATATTTCCTCTGAAAAATGAGAAACAAAAGGAAGTTAATTGCCCAGTCGAGCTTCTCAGATGCTGCAATGTCTTGTTTTCACATGAACAGAGATGCACCAAGAGTAAAGGCATTGTACCAAGAGCAGTCTTGGTTGAAGACACTGATCTCAGACACCCAAGTGGGAAGAAAGGCTCTTGCGTGACATGAGCCTTGGGGGTGGAGGAATAAACAATGCTCCTCGGTGTGGCCTCAGATCTAGCAAAAGGAGAAAAGAAAACTAATCAGTTCATGTGATGCAGCTTTGAGCAGGTCGCCTGTGGTACAAAGAGAATCCCTTCATGAGAAAGGCAAAGCTAAAGCAGCAACCTCAGAACAACAGTATGCATATGGCATGAGTTCTTACAATTTTATACTGTTGTCATATTAAATCCTCTTAAGTATGCATCTGACGTTGACAGTGTTGTGTGAACAGTGGATTCTGGAGAGTGGAAGAGCTTCATGGCTTTGTCCGGATCAAGACCTGAGCGTGGAAGATGGAGGTGCTCTCGATCCAAGTTTTAACCTACCGAGTGAGTTTTTCTTGGATCTCTATCTGCTTCCCAACCTGGTTTGTGGTGTTCCTCCGGATCAGACTTGTAAGATTCCCAGGTTCCTGATATGGTCCCATCATCGTTGAGAGCATCATGCATCATGGCATTGCATGCTAGCTCACCTGGTAGGGCCACTTGTGACTCGGTTCCATCTTGGGACACAGGACATCAACGCGGTTACCAGCTAGGTCTGTTGTTGGATTGTTGCACTACATCACAACTTTCGACATTGGCTGGCCCAGCTGGGCTCCACACCCTGACAGAATCCTATGCCCCAGTGTGAAATCTGTAAGCTGGTTTCTGCCTCCCTCACTCTCCTTCCTTTCTTTATTCTTGTCTTTGGTGAATGATGGTGTTTCATTGATGCATGGGTGTGAGGACTGTGTTGTGCAGAGTTGGAAAGAGCTCGGGGCCTACAGTTGGAAAGAACCCCTTCATCGACTGCTTTCTTCTGGGGGTTGGGTGTGGTTTAATGACAGGGAAGGAGAGGTGGGCTACTTCTTCCAAAGCATGCAGGGCTCTCTCTCTCTCTTCTTCTTCTTGCCATCTCTTTCTTTCAGAATAAGCTGCTGAAGTACAATTATTTTTTGACAGCACCCAGTTCCTTTGGGATCAAAGACTTGTTTTCCAAGGTAAAGGGTTGGTCAAAACCCATTGATGCACTCACTGCATTTAATTCTTGATTAGAATACCATGCATTGAAAACAATCAAGGAAACAGTTTTAGATTCTTCATTCGTAGAAACCTCATGCGCATTATATTTTTCCTCTTTTACATGTTACTTACAAATCCTCTCTTGCTAAGGCCACAAGTGTTGCACAATATCAGGTGTCTTTTGCTGCTGTCTGACTTGTGTTATTGAATCAGTGGGATTAATTGTTCTTCCGGTCAAAACCATTGGTTGCTGTGACCGCAAGGATGAGCTCCTCAAATTTCGTGCTCAGTGGATCATGAATGCCAGCTTCCCATGCATGATGGCCTTTTCTATTCACCTTTTCTGACCTTTTGTAGGGTGAGTGAGACCCTCTACCCTTTTGCCGTATAAAGAGGGTGGTGAGGAAGACGACTGAAGGAAGTCGCAACCTTTCTCCATCGTTCATCCATGGGGAAGAGCAGCAGAGTCCTTCGCCCTCCAAACTCCTCCATCGATCCACTCCTTAGGTGCTCCTCCCCCTCCTCCTCCTCCTCGCCCTGTCAAAGTATGGGGAGCGGTGGGAAGAGGCCGTACAAGGGGGTGAGGAGGAGAAGCTGGGGCTCCTGGGTCTCCGAGATCAGAGCGCCGCATCAGAAGACGAGGATATGGCTGGGATCCTACTCCACGCCCGAGGCAGCCGCCAGGGCCTACGACGCCGCCCTCCTCTGCCTCAAGGGCTCCTCCGCCTCCTTCAACTTCCCCGCCTCCCTCCCCAGCCACCTTCCGGCCAGTGCCATGTCTCCCAAGTCCATCCAAAGAGTCGCCGCCGCCGCTGCCGCCGTCGTCGTCACCTCCCCTACGGCTAGCACGACCACCAGCCGGTCACCGTCTCCTCCCCCTCCTCCTTCTCCGTCGCTGGACGCCACCAACGAGGACCACCAGTCCACGATGACGAGCTCGGCCACTTCGACGAGGAGCGGAGAGATAGATGAGCCGTGGATCGATCTCGGAGCCTTCCAGTCGCCACGGTGCATGGATCATATGATCAACCCACTGATCTCCTCTTGGCAGGAGTGCGAGGAGATGGGAGACATAAACCTATGGAGCTTCTTCTAGAAGATGGAGATAGGTTCATTGCTTGTTGCTTGTCTCATCCACTGCAGCTGAGATCAGGGGAAGCTGAGACTCGAGTACGAGCAGCGTGGAGATAAATGCATACGATTGCGTTCCAGTCACAGTAATGTTGTAAGGTAATAAATAAACGGAGTATTAGAGTTATGTACTCAGCATATGGAAATTTTTCTGATGAGACATTTAATTGAACAATAACAGAGTTTGGAGGAATTCTTTATGTACAATGAGACCTGAGTGAGAGAGGTGATAATTTGGAAGCAGTTCTCTTCCTTCTCAAGAACTGGTTTGATGCTATGGATTGGACATAAAAAAGAAGAAGAGGACATAAATGAAAGTTGTGTTGTTTTCTCATATCCTAGATTTAAATAAGCTCCAGTTCTATGCTCTGCATTCATTAGCCACTTGACAAAGATTTAGGCGATTAGATTGCAGAGCAGTGTAATATGATGACTTCTGCTTGGCTTACATTCATATTTTGTATATAAACTTGCTACAGTGGGGTTCTGATTAGAGAGAGAGAGGACTTCACATGTTAATATGTTGTACAAAGTTTAGTTCCCAACCATTAAACATCAAAGATGATGACCATGTCTAATGCTGTTTGCAGTTGACCAAGTATAATCTGTGTTCTTGAACAATTTGCACACTTCAACTCTCTCTCATCTTTAACTCTTGGCAGTGTGCCTCATGAGCATCACATAAACTCCATTTGCTTGATCATGAAGTTTAGTTTCAGAACAAACATCTAAGTAAAATATGCAAAATAGAGACAATCGCTTTCAGCATTGTATCCTATGCACTGAGCCAGCTCAAGAAGACAGCTAAAAAGTGGGTCATCTTCCAACTCAAAGATTAAGATAAGGTAAGGAATTGATGGACAAAAACCCTATAAGACTGGATCTTGTCCGAGATGAAATGATAGTAGATAAGCTTGATGCTAACAATAAATACAAATATGCAACAGGACTTCGAATATCACATCTTTGTCTATTGTAACAAATATATTTTTCTCTATTTTTTTTAAATAATAATCAATAGTAATTGATTCAATTATTTAACTTATGAGAAGATGCTAGTATTTATTATATGCTATCATAATTTGGGGATACACAGCACTATTATTTTCTTCTGATGACAGAGATATTTATATATATATTCTAAGGCTGGATAATCATTTAATAATTTTTAAAATATATTATAAAATATATTGTATAGATAAAATAATTAATCTATTATAAAAAGATGATCAATACGATCACACATGAGTGGAAACCCAAAAAAACATCTTTCAAGGTAGAGAATTACACTAGTTTATATATATATATATGTATATAATATGCAAAATGATAAATGTGTTATATAGACGGACTCGAACTTGAGTTCAAGAAGTATTCGATTTAACCCAATCAAGTCACTATTGGGTCCGTCTATCCCCATCTATCATCGCTACCGTCCACTGATGATTGGGCTTCACCAACGGACGATCAAGACGTAACGAGAGGGAGTGCTCTGGATTGGCCGATACGGCGGGGCCCATACTCAAACGGGGTGTCGTAACCCGGTCAACTCGGAAGCTTCGCGAGAACGAGGCGCTACAAAAGGGGGCCGCGATCTTTTCGTTTCCTTGAAAGCGGAAGCGAACGGATCGGCGACTTCGGGGAGACGACGACGACGACGGATGGCGTACGTCGAGAATGGTATCGATTACCTCCCAATTCTTTTGGTCGATTTAATTTGGAGATCGATTCGAACGGTTGATCAGCCATGGGTTATGCATGAATCTTGATTTCTAGTTTAGAAATTAGGGTTTATTTGTTCTGGATATTGTTTACTTTGGCTACGTATGCTCTATGTGCCCAGATCTCTTGGGGGGTTTCTAGCATCCTGCTTTCGTATTCGATTGTGCTGGTTAGGGTTAATCTGTATGTCTTCCGACTTTTCATGAGCCAGTTTATTGTCGGTGTTTTAGTCGTGATATCGCATTAAATTGTCGTTCGATGTAGGAGTTCATTCTGGTTCAGTTTGTTTATCAGTCTTCTAACAGATCGTGCGTGTATTTTGAGAAATCTTGTGCCAATTTTTGTTTATGCTAACGTACTTCCTTGATCATGAGGCGTCCATCGCGCTATTTCCCCCTATGCAAGATACCGGGTGACGGAGCCACTTTTAGGAAGGAGAAAGGAGGGGTGTGGGGGAGGGGGGGATAATTTGAATCATGAATGTGGCCTTTTTACTAGGGTCAATTAAACGTGAATTGATCCCCTTTTAAATCCACATCATGTTATGTTGTTTCCCAATTTCTGTGGTCATACTCTAACCTTCGAACACAACTTTGAAGAAACATGGAAGGAGGTAATAATTTTATTGATTCAGATTGAAATCCTTCCTCGGATTGCTGAAGTATGATTCTAAGGAAATCAACTTCGATAACATGGTTATTTCAATCCCACATCTAGATTTGTAGTAGTTAGCACTTAGCAGTTTGTTATCATTTAAAGTAGACAACTCAAAATTAATTACTTGAAGGTTTTAATGAGAATCCATTATCAATCAGAGTGTACTAGATGGAATTTTGGAGAATTTAGAGCTGAGGAGCTTATTAATTGCTTGAACTGTTCAAATAGCTTTTGTTCTCTGTGGTTCACAGTGGATAACTTGGTGAAGTTGGATATCTCATTTTCTCAGTTCTAGGTCATGCTTGTTTAAACTGTTTTCGTTGTTTAATTTTGTATCATTGTGCTTTGCCTCCTTTTTGTGTCGAATAAGAGCTAGAAGCATAGACCACACCGATGACTTTTCTATTTGCATCTGCACAAGGGCATATATCTATATATGTTTAACTCCAAGGTGTTTATGTCAACATTTACAAATCAATAACTCTTTATTTTTCCTTCGAAGATATTAAATCTCTTACTACTTTGTTTCTCTACTTTTAAAGCTGTGATCGGCGAACATGCACTTCATTTAAGCTCATTTTCAAGGTTGCACAAGGCCGAAATGCACATGAGTATTTGGTGGTTTGTGTAAACAGTTTTAATTTGTACAAGTTTTTGGAAAATAAGGAGGGCACACTTGATGTTGTATGTAGTACAATCTTTATAATTTGGAATGTCTGAAAACGTTTGACGCTGTGTGTCCTACGATCTTTATAATTTGAAATGTCTGATGTTCCAAAAGCTTTAGTAGACATGATGTTAGAGGTCGTGATTTAGGATCTCAATGACGGCGAAAGATCCATAAAGCTGACCCCTTTTGTGTTGTTGTTGTTGTAGGTTGTGATTTAGGCTGCTGCTTATAAGGATGAATAGAAGAATCGTGGATATTGTGTGCCAAAACAAGTTAGGAGATATTGTTACAGACCACAATGTCGTATTAGCTTTTGGGTGTCCATAATTTTGAAACTATTTATTGCTGGATATTGATTGTTGAATGCTTAAATGCTTATGTTTTATGATATCCAACTAAAAATTTCATTGTAACAGCAGTTGTTGCAGGAACTTGATTGATCTGAGCATGATCCTCGAGCATTTTACCCCTAGCATTTTTTAATTTCTACAGTATATAGAACATTTCACATGGACTTTTGTACTCAGGCAAGCTTCTTTGTTGGAAGTCCATATACTGACTTTGCCTACTCAACACACCCATTATCTTCAGTGATTCTTTGAAATATCTGTTTCTGTGTACTGATCACTAAATGCTTATGTATCTTAAATGATGTCCATTAAAGGTTTCCTTTTTGCAGCAATGCTAGGTCGATGTCACAACCTAAAGAGTGTTTGTCCTTAAAATGTGATTTTTATCAAAGATGTGATCTGTGAGCTATTATACTGCTTACTTCTAATAGTTAACTAGTGCCAACTATATGAACTTTGCAATACATTAAAATAGGTGACTGTGATACATTATTAAGCTTCTATTAATAATTGCATGGAACTTTGAATAATGACTGCAGGTGTTGTGCAGTCAAAGCGGACGATATGGCGGTTGAGTATAATATCTGATTTCTTCTGGGCCATTGTGAACTCTATAGGATTGTTCTTTATAACAATGTTTTCGGTATGCACTTCATGATAACCCTTGGTGTTTTCAAATCGTTAAAGTCGATACAGAATGCTTTGAAATACTTACAATAAATAAATCTTTATACAGATGGAAAAATCGGATCAGTATAAAAAGGGATCGGGCTCGAGCAAGAAATGGGATGGTGGTCCTGGTGGTGGAGGCCCTGGAGGCAGTTCAGGAAGTGGTCCATATGGTGGTGGACCTGGTGGTCGCCGTGGGCCACGGACATTGAGCGATCTTCGGTCTAATGACCATAGTAAGTGGCAACTCACAAATTTTGCTCCTCTTATGATTCTTGTGTTTACAATTCGAAACCATTGTCATGAAAATTTCAGGTTCTTTTCCTGCTTGTGGTTCCTGCTGTGGTGGTGGCTAAGCTCGATAGGTGCAACTTTGGATCTCAATTGAACAACTTCGTGTTCTTATAGTTGAAGACACTGTTTGAATGGTAATAAGTTCTCATCAACCTAGTCTACAATAAAAAAAAAACATCGTATGTAAATGTTTTTCTTCCTTAAGATCACTGTTTTAATCACACACTTCCTTTGTTCCCTTGAGATCTAATGTTGATTGCCAGCCATGGATTGCGGTTTAGCTAATTTCGTGTGATATTCTCAGACACTGCAGTTTAGCTGATTTCGTGTCTTCATTCTTAGACCGAAATTTTATTTCTGTGGGTAAACGTTCGCCATAGCAGGGATATGATTCCCTAAATATTATTAGTGAAGGCTCAAGCCACACTTGAGGTACATGGAAGATTGATGAATACTTGAGGTTGCGCCACCTCGTTCGTCTTAGTATTCGTGGCTATTTCTGTTTAAGCTTGCGAAAACGCTATTCACCCCCGTTCATCTTTAGTGTGTACTGGGGATATCTTAGATTTACGAATATGACCAGGACAGGCCATATGAAACATTCAAGGATCAACCGATTCTTGCCTACATTTCTGTTCGGTATATCGCTGGAACGAGCCCGGCCTGATGCTATGTGGGGCGTTTAATTTGTAGTTGCAATCAATTATTGTTCGGAAATAGTAGGAGGGCGGCAAATTAGCGAACGAGAGTAATAGAAATATGACGTAATTTGTGCCTCGATTATCAATTTGTTTGCAGAGACCGGAGCTGCCACCGGTTTTCGGATTATTTTGACTCCGACAACTTTTTCTCCGGAAAACGTTTTGCATGGTTGGGGCGGGTTTCGGCGAAATCCTCGCACGAAGCTCGATGTGCTAACCCGTAAGTGGCGATGCAGCTGAGCCCCCGAACGACTTGGTCGATAAACACGTCAACTGCTGCTGAATCGTGTTTGCTGCCCAAAACCAGACAGCTTCCCCCACCCCGGTTCCCGTCCCTCACTCACAGACATCCTCCCCTCCCCCTTTTTGTTCGTGTTCTCGCTTCACTCTCTCTCTCTCTCTCTCTCTCTCTCGGCGTCGTCCTACTCGTCTCTACTTCCTCTCCAATCATTTCAGTCCAAGGCAAATGGCCTTCTTCCCTCAGCACCACCACCACCTCCAACAGCCACAGCAACAGCAGCAGGCGATTCCATTCAGGTTCCCGTCCCTCTTTCTTTTTTCCTTTCTTCCTCACTCCAATTCCAATCCGTCTCATGGATCGACCAAATAGCTGCAGGAATTTCGTGCCTATCGATGGCCAAATCTCCGCCCCGATCGACCTCGCCGCCGCCGCCGCCTTCCCGGATCCTTCCTGTAATCCACCTTCCCCCGCCCGATTTCCAGGTGTTTCATTTCGATTTGCGTGGTGCTGAAACCCCATCTTTGTTTGGTTTTGGTCGGTAGTCGTTCGTGTCATGGGCCTCACACCCGGCGCCGTGCCGGCGGCGGACGGCGGATCGAGCGGTTGGGAGCCGAGAAGGAAGCGGCTCAAGGAGCAGGACCTCCTGGAGAACTCCCAGATCTCCTCCATCGATTTCCTCCATGCCGGGTCGGTTTCCACTGGGCTGGGACTCTCCTTGGACGACCGGAGGGTTGCGGCTTCATCTGGGGAGTCGCCGCTTGTCCTCCTCCCTACGGTCGGCGAGGACATTGATTGCGAGGTGCAGAGGATGGACGCAGAGATGGATCGGTTCATCAAGCTTGAGGTCTGTGTGTTTTGCTAATCCGTGCTTTAAGTTTAGTTCTGATTTCTAATCTGGTGGTCGATTTCCTTGTGTCATTGTTTCCTCTCCTTGCTTTATTATCTGATTCTCGACTGATACTGATTTACTAGGAAGTTTACTCTTTTATTGGGATTTTGTGCAAGAAACTCAAGATAGTGCCTCTTCCAGCAACCCATCGTCACTTCCCTTCCTAAGCAGGATTTATTACATCGATACTGTAGAGAAATGAGAGACTAGAATTAGCACGTTATTTAAGTAATTATGAATTATTTGTTTGATCAACCTAGAAACTCTTACCGTCCCCATTCGAGATTTTGCAACAATTTAGTTTGTAATACACTTCTGAGGAACTATGCCTGTCTGGAAGATATGCTGTGAGCTAATTAATTATATAACTGATTCCAAATGATGACTGCTCAAGGAATCATATCCTACTCAGTGAGTGTCTGATCTCTCACCATCAGAATCGCTTGGCTCTTGAGAACTGGTATGACATAACCTTCTTGATGGCTTAATTCTTGTTTTCCATCTTTTGAAGTACCAAGATATCTCTTCATTGGAAATCACGTAATGCTCCCTGACATCACCAGTATGTGTGTTATATTTAGACTTTTTTAGATGTTAATCCCTTATTTCAGTTTAATTGTCTGTAAGGATAAATTTGTTTCAAAAGTGTGACTATCTTGGAATTTGTTGCTAGAGTCACATGCTATGCCATCTTGATAGTTGAATCACTTGAAAGTTTGGTTTGTAAAAAATCTAAAATTTATGTCTTTGTTCCCCAAAAATCTTTTGTTATCGATGTAATTCCTGACCAGCCTTGGTCAGATCAGCTCAGGTCTATGTTTATTCTGACACTGTAGTTAGACGATCTTGAAAATTATGGAGGGGCTAGTTCAGCGAATAATTGGTTCAAACATCACAAGTTTGTCTAGGAGTAATGGTCATAATTGGCGAGGCTTGATCCTTACTAGGCCCATTGCAATTACATGGGCCCACCAATAGGTTCAGTTGCACAATCAACACCTTATGCCATGACAGGTCTCATAATTATTATGAGACCTGTCATTCGCTATGCTTCTGATTTGATAGGAATTAAACCCCATTGGAGGTGACAATGCGCCAAATTCTAGATGAAATCCGAGATTACATATTTCCTAACTGGGTGGCTGGCACCGAATCACATCTAGATCAAGCCAGGAAACCAGATGAAACTTGAGTCTAGACCTGTTTGAGTTTATTTCTGTTCTAAAGAGGCCTGACCTCCTTTAGTAGGGAGTTGACCTATCTCCCAGTGTCCAAATTCTAAAATTTAGGAATTCTGCTTTGCATTTTTGTCATTACTTTCAAAGGTAATTTTGGAAAGCCTATACGGTCGAGTCTAATTGGTTTCCATAATCCTTAATATGGGTATAATACATGTCAGACTAATTAATTATCTGTATAGAATTTATTTTAGAGAGTTCTATAGTCCCTTCAATTTCAATGATTGTGAGCAACCTACTTTGTCCTACGTTGTTTAGAAATAAGAGAGTGTGAAGAGAGCCTATAATAAAATTCATTATGAACCTCTTAATTTAGCACAATTGAGATTATCGTTATTATCCTTTTTAGATCTTCTCTCTTTCTCTCTGTTATCTCTTTTCTTCTCATTGTTTACCTGTTTTCTTTCTTTACTTTTGTTTTTCTCTCTTTTTTTTATTTTCTCTCCATGATGAAAAAGTCTTTAGTTCCTTCTCTAGTGCTTCCTGATGCTGAAGGAAAAGCATGCAAACACCAAGAACATCTAAACAACAAAATGTATTCTAGGGTTTGGATCGCAGTTGGTCTTGTATCTTCATATGGACAGAGATAGCAAAGTTCGAGTTGATGTCTCGTGTGTTGAGTTCTAACCTCAGATAAGCACCAACACACCATCTTCTTCAGGAAAACGTTAAAACTTTTGGCTTCATATCTTCATATGGCCAGACATAGCAAAGTTCGAGTTGATGTTTGTGTGTTGAGTTCTAACCTCAGATAAGTGCCGACACACCATCTTCTTCAGGAAGGAGTTAAACTTTTGTCTTCTGTAAGTGCAAGATGATTTTGGAATTCTAGTTGCCAAAAGATTAGGAACTTTATGGCCCATGTGGATAAACTTAATTAAAGATTCTGTTTTCTATGGGATGTTTGAATTTTTATTCATTCCATTTATTCATCTCTTATATTGATGTTCTGAAGAATCTCCATAAGATATGAAATTATTTTTTTGAGGCATTTTCATTTGTACAGTGAGAATTAGTTATAGTGTATGCTTTTATATTTTCATATTGTTTCTGTGCATATGATTTAGATTTTTTTTTTTGTGGTCATTACTCATCTCTAAGAGAAATTCGGGGCTAGGACAAGTACCCGTTGAACCATGCACTAGATTTTTTTTTTAAATTTGAAATATCGACTGACTTTGCTCTATGAACAATGCACTTATAAGGATTACTTGCATACTCCTCAAATCACATAGGGTGAGCGTATGAGGAAATCAATATTGGAGAAGGTTCAGATGAAACAGTTCCAAACATTAGCTTCTGTAGAGGAGAAAATCTTCAGAAAGATACGAGAGAAAGAATCAGAAGTTGAGGGCATAAATAAGAAGAACCTGGAACTTGAGGAACAAATGAAACAGTTAGCCATGGAAGTGAGTACGTGGCAGCAACGGGCAAAGTACAATGAGAGCATGATTAATTCCCTCAAGTACAATCTCGAACAACTCTATGCTCAGAGCAAGGACAACAAAGAAGGGTGTGGTGATAACGGGGTAGATGACACTGCCTCTTGCTGCAACGGGGACACTGATTTACAGCTTACGTTCAAGCAGAATAAGGATATCGAGTCCATGGCTTGTAAGGTTTGCAGGGTGAACGAGACTTGCATGCTTTTGCTGCCCTGCCGACATCTATGCCTGTGCAAAGAGTGCGAGAGCAAGCTTAGTTTCTGCCCATTGTGTCACTCCTCGAAGTTCATCGGCATGGAGATTTATATGCCATGAAACTTGTTGCCCTAAAGATGTCATGCACCGTGTCTTGTCTAGTTATCATGGCCTACTTGTGATATCTTCTACACTGCATAAACTAAAAGGGTTTAATATGTCGTAGATTTACGATCTGTAGTATGGATTCTGCTTAATGTTTTATTGGGCTTTATATGTACCATTAGAGTTGGATGGTTTCTTGATGTTAATCTTCTTGCAGAAACTAATGTTCTTCTGGATTTAACCGTGGTCTTTGATTTGCAAGCAATCGTATCCTCTTCTGCACCTTTATATTTTTTTGTGTGGCTATCTTTTAACATAATTGATATATTTATTTCATGTTTTCGATAGTTGTAATTCCAGTCTTTCTGTTCGTAGGGAAAGAATTTTGCTCAGCCCTGCTCCTTGTCTTTTCTTTGTGAAATTACGCTAAACAATTTTATTTTTGTTGCAAAACCTGATTCATTATTTAAAGAGGATTTTTGAGTCTTTATTGATGGGAATAATTTGAGAAGGAAATCTATTCACATATGCCTAGTTGAGATATCTGGAATCATATCAATTTCTTTTCTCTCATTATCATTTGGAAAAGGATGCTTGGAGTGTTTTTTTTTTTATCATTGAATATCTAAAGTGTCCAATGATGTATATTATAACTAGTCACTAGTCATATGATGTATTCACATGTCCCACATCATAGGGATTGTAATATTGTAATGTAGCCTCATGTTGGTGGTCAAGATTTAGATTGATTTTATTATTATTATTATTATTATTATTATTATTATTATTATTATTATTATTATTTAGATTGAGTTATAGTGAGAGGTTTTAGTAGAAAAGGGCTACATGAGTTATCATTAAGTTATTATTATTATTTAGGTTTTAGATTCTGAGTTACGTTGGGTTTTGAGGAGGACATCAAATTTAATGGCAGACAAATACCAACTTTACTAAGCTATATTACAGAATGGAGAGGATGCTAAGTATTTACCCAACTTAAATTTCTATTGAGATTCCATAGATAATACGACACATTGTCGAGCCCCAAGTCGCTTAAATTTCGCACATCCTGTTTGAATGAATACCATTCATTCAATGCAGTAAAAAATTCCCAAGTAATTGTTGAACAAATAAAGACAACCCACACAAGTTTAAAAAAAGTAAGGGGTTGGAAGGACAGCCTGTTTACTAAATGTTGACGCAGTGAGGACATCAATGATGCCCAGAACAGACATACTAAATGTCCATTTGTTGTTTCTTCCCATCACAGGTTGGGTAACTCTACATCAATCACCCTCCTTTATGCTGTCTCTCTCCTTCCTTCGTGAGAGACAACATTTTATTTATTTATTTTCAGTTTTCAGCTGTTGCTTTGTTAACATGAGAATTAATCGAACTGCTTCTGCACTATCTTTGATCAGTTTTCAGCAGATTCTGATGGATCATCTAAAACAGTGACGTTGATCCATTAGAATCAGACAAGTGCAGAAGCAGTTCGATTAATTCTCATGTTAACAAAGCAAATCAGAAGATTTATTCAATATTTACATTTAAATAATTATCAATTAAAAGAATGCTCAGTACAACAATAATATGCTGAAAAAACAAACTGTCATCCTTACCTAAAAAGAAAAGAAAAAACAAACATAATTGAACTTTACAATTCTTTGTTATTGTAGAATCAAAACATGAAAGGACTATGCAATTCTCCAGCAATATCTTCCCACACAAAAACAAAGAACAAAAGCCATGTCATTTATTCTTTTCATGGACTAATCAAAACTGTTAGTTGCAAAGGACCAAAAGCAAGTAGCATGTATGATGTTGAATTCAACCAAAGCATGAAAAAGATTAAGAAATGAACAAATATACGGAAACATGCAAGATGTGATTTGATTATTATATGACCCATGCAGATTCATCATAACATTAGTTTTAATGTGGCAAAACATTATATATCTTATTTGGATAAATGGCAAACTATTATTAAAACAAATTAGATGAGATTTCGAACCCTCATAAATTAATTAGTTTGGCATATCATCATCAGACCAATATTTAGGATGTAAAACCAAAATTAGATATACTTCCATGGGAATAATGCCAACATATTAAAGAAAAGAACATGAGCAAACCCAGCATTCTATAGCTTTGATGCTGGTATTTCTTCTATTAGTTGACACTCAAAAAGACAGATTCATACCAGAAAAAGTTTCAGAAAGAAATCATAAGAATGCCACACAAGTATCACAAACAACATGAATCATTAAATTTCACCTCTACCAAACAAGAAAACAATCTATTACCTACCATCGAGCCTTTGTCTTAAAGGGAATACATCTGATGAAAAGAAAACATAAAAACTTGATCTACAAGGATAGTTATTAACTACCCACTTACCACCAACTGGCACTTTTCCCACTTTGATGATTATCACCACAATTGTTTTCCAAGCTCTTAGTTTTTTACAAAGTGATTATCTACATATACACTGCAGTTTCTTAATCAGTTTTAAACCTATTATCCTTTACGTCTCGACATCTACAACACGCTACAACTAGTAATCTACGTTTCTAATTAGGCATGCTTAGTTTATAACAGAATCAACTCACAGATAGTTTAATTCCAGGCAATTCTTAAAAGTCTCGCTTTGCTGGGAGCCCCATGCCCGGCATCATCCTTTTCTTAAACTTCTTCCTTCTGCCCACATAATCACACATGAATGACTAGATTCTGAGGGAAAAAAAGACAATAACACAAACACTACCATCCATCTAACAGTATCCCAGATTGCTTGATCTCCATTCTTAAAAATGGGCTATTGCTCAAACACCGTAACAACATAGTAATACACTCTTATTCCATATTAATGTCAAACACCCACAATATGATTAATGCTAAGATATTTAGTCTATTTACTTGCATGGTCAACTCCAAAAAAGAAAAGACAAATGGATAATTTTTACAGCATAAATAACATAAGAGTTGTACATGATACTTTCTATCAGTTGGACCAGATGTATTGCAACTCGATCCAATAAAAATACATTCATAGAGTCACAGGTAAATTTCATGCAGTAGCTGAAATGAGCATCCTCGACGAACACTATTTTGTCAATCTGACACTATGAAGTTTCAGTATCTGCTTTGTCAATATGCCACATGATATCCGCGAATTAACAAATTCAGTTTCCAAGATGAAATCGTGCGTGGGATACCAAAGTTCAAATCACAGGAAACTATTCTTTAAATTATAAAGGTGAGGCTGTATATTCTGTTTTGGTGCGAGTCTCATGCACCAAATTACTAGTTTTGAAAGTCATACATCACAGTTTCTCTGTGAATTCCAAGTAGCAAATAACTACATACAGATAACATCTAGTTCTTGGAGACTGATCGTGGTATCAATTATATTTCAACTAAAATGAGGAGCCTAAACTATTATTTAGGATCTTAGAGTTTTAAAAAGCAACTTGATCTTGACCTAACTATCAAAGCATCGAAAAACAATAATACTGCTACATGCATTCAATTAACATGACAAATTTGAAGGCCTTTATATGTTTGATGGAAGTCCAGTGGGGAGGGACAATACACAACCTTGACACACTTAACACCCTATCACGAGGTGGAATTAGCACTTCAAACTGTAAAGGTACAGACTTCTGCCATGTTATCATTGTGTGGCCGTAAATACTTCAAGAAGGGAAATAAGTTGTCACAGTTTAGTAGCCTTTATTGGTTTTAATTGTTCAGTTACCTAGAATCTAGAGCCCACAAAGTGATGGTGGCATCAAGACATCAACAAACAATGTGTTAGGACACTAGAAATATGTAAAAGAAAAAGTTATGACAAGCATGAATGCCAACAAGATCGATACTGGAAACATACGAAGAGATACAAACAATAATAGCCCTGATGAACTACCGTCGAACATTAGCAAACAATGAATTACTACAATTATCCACTGAAAAAATAAGAAAAACAAACAACCTACCCTAACAGAAATTTAATTTACAAGAACAGGAGTTGCCAATTATACATGTTCACAACTTAATACAAAAGATGCAGGCACATGAGAGAAACTCCGAGTGGAGATTATACAGAACTTTTTAAGTATCAACCTGCAAGCTCGTAGAATGCAAAGTAAAGCATGTGCACTTATCTTTCAAGGCTTCAGATTCACTTCCATACTCTTTAAATGTATACTCTTCTTTCTTGAAAGCTGACGGCACCTTCCCTTCACTGTAGCAACGGTTACACAAGCTGAAACGAAGCTTTATCTCTGTAAATCTTGATCCTATTACAGGATATTGGCATATCGAACAGGTGTGCCGGCCATGTCGTATTCGGTCACCAGCTTCAAGTTTAACCAGCGTTCCTAAGATCCCAAAACCCCAGTCTGGATCATTGAACATCTCAAGAAACTCTGCGTATGATACCATCGAGGGATCTGATTCTCCATGCACCTCCAACATATCACTGACTCCATGAGAAGGGATGTAAACAGCCCGCAGCAGCTTAATATATGTAATCGCGTCACTCCTCCTGATGTTCACCCCACCTTCATTGTTAGGTCTCCATATCAGTGAATCAAAAACTGCTCTCTTGCGTTTGTCAGTAGGACCAGAGCAAATGGGAGCAAGGACGGCAAAGAACATTCCCAAGTCCACCCTACCGGATCCAGTGGCATCCAATACAGAAAGAACCTTCTCATTGATAGCTTTCACAGCCCCCTGAAATGTTTCGGGTTTGAGGAACCGAAGCAACCTTCGAAGAATCACCTCCAGTGCAGCCTTCCTGATAGATTTCTCAGGTTCTCCACCACCCGAGTAGGATATGGGAACATCAGTCTCATTCATCTCCTTCTTCAAGAGATCCACATCACAGCGGCTAAGCCTTGCGACCCTCTGAAAAGCCCTAATATCCAATGCAACAGCCAAATCCTGCCTTAATGTAGTCTTTTTCCCTGCCCTCTTGAACTTGGATGGCTCGATGACAAGGTAAGCCCCCTCGCCTACGGTACCGTTCCTTTTGGGCTTCTTCTTCTTCTGCAGAATCTTGAGATGTGCAATTGCATCGTACACCTCAACCCTTCGTGTCATCTTGAATGCTTCTTTTAGCGCCCGCTTGGCCTCATCCGACTCCCCGGCCCCCAGTAAAGCCACCGCCTTGTTCAATTGTGCCCGCCAGTGGTTCGGCCGGACACTCAAAACTCTGGTGAACATCTCTGATGCCCTTGGGAACCTTCCGGCATCCATGAACAGGCCACCGAGGTTGTACAGAGCGTCCACATGCCCGGGCCTCAGATCAATGGCCTTCTGAAACTCCTGAATCGCCCGCTCATCTTCCCCCATGGCATGAAGGGTAGAGCCAAGATCGCAGTGCGCATCAGCATAGTCCTGCCGCAAGAAAATGGCCTCCTCCAATGCCTTCTCGGCAGCACGGTACTCCCCGACGCCAAACAGTGCGCTCCCGAGGAGCTTCAGGGCCCTGAAATGGGTGGGACAGAGGATGGCAGCCTCTCGGTAGTGCTCGCAGGCGCCCAGGATCATGCCTTCTGCTTCCATGGCAATGCCAAGGTTGACGTGGATCTGGGGAAGGATGTCAGAGGATTGGGCCCCTCCGGCCTCGGCGGCCTCAAGGGCGAGTAGGAACTCTTCTTTGGCTTCGGCATGGCGGCCGATGGCATAGAGGGAGTTGCCGGTACGGAAATGAGAGCGGGCGTCGGTGGGCTGAAGCTCACAGGAGCGGCGGAAGCTGATGAGGGATTCGCGGAAAAGCTGGTGCTCGTAGAGGCCCCGACCGAGGACCATGTGATTGTCGAAGGCCTCCTCCCTGGACCGGGCGCCGTCGGCGCGTCCCCGGAGAACGGCGACCTCCTTAACGAACGAGAGGTAATCACGGCTGGTTTCGTCCCAGGGCACCCGCCTCTCGGAGGAATCGGAGGGTCCTCCGATCTCCCGCGACCATCCAGCCTCGGAAAAAGAGTCGAAGTGGCTGTTGTTGTTATTGTCACCGACGCCGGCGCCGGCGGTGGCGGACCTTTGGAGCTGCTTGGAACGTAGGCGCTTAACGAGGATCTCGAGGTCGTCCAGAAGGGACCAGGAGGATTCGAAGATGATGCCGTTGTTAGGGGAGACGGCCCACGGAGGGGCGGCAGCACGGGGCGGCTGGGACCTGGGAGCGGAAGCGGAGGCGAGCAAGCGGTCATCAAGAATGCCGGTGCCGGTGGCGCCAGCGGACGACGACGACTCCGCGACAACGCCGGCGTCGGAGGACGCCGCACCAGCGGCGGAGTCATCTCCCTCGCCGGCATCGGTGGACAGGCGGAGGCCGAGGGCGTCGAAGTCGCGGTCGACGTCGCCGGCGCCGTCATCATATGTGCGGAGGAGGCCGGCGAGGGTGAGCCCAACGTGGGGGGAGGCGATGAAGTCGGCGTAGGTGCGGAAGACCTCGTCGAGGATGGCGGAGATCTGTTCATCGCTAAACTTAACGCGGGGATTGACGGCGACCACCAACGCCGCCATCTCCTCCCGGTTCAACCCGCCGTCCCCATTAGCATCGAACCGCTCGAAGATCCGCTGCACCTTCTCGGCTCGCGCCCCTCGCCCGCTCGCCCCTCCCGCCGCCGCCATCATTCGTTTCCCGATCCCAAACCTCTCTCTCTCTGTCTCTGTCTGTCTCTCTCTCTCTCTCTCTTCTCCCCCGAAGAAGGAAGGAAGGAAGGAAGATGAGAAAGTGAAGGAGAGAAGAGGGGGTTGATGATGAGGACTGGTTTTAATTAATTACATCGAAAATTCCTTTTTTCCGTTTCTTAAATCATTTTCCACAATTTATATTTTTCACTGAATAACTATACATCCCCGCCGGTGTTCCACCCGCCCTTCTCACCAGCTTCTAATCGGACCCTATCAGCCGTCCGTGTGTGAGGTAAGTTGGCAAACCGGGTAAACCGTGGGTGGTTAACTCGTACAGGGAGCAGCGAGGATGCGAATGATAGGAATGATGATGGTCATAATTAAAGACGACAACCACAAATCATACCTAATAATTGAAGCCGAAAAAGAGTGACGAAGAGAACACAGGCCGATGGTGGCCCCATAGCGAGATCAAACCAGCGACTGGGTTTCCTTTGCGGGTGGATAACTATGTGTACCTTCTTATATCTTTTAATTCAATCGAAAGAAGAAAAAGTAAATGGAATAAAGAAAAAGAAAAAAAGGAAGAGGGGCTATCTGTGTGCGCCAACAAGGATGATGTGAGTCGTGTGGTACGTTTTCTTTTCCCCTTTTCATTTGTTCTTTCTCGCTGTGTATTTCTTACTTGTAATTATATTTGTGGGATTAATCGTATATTTTTAGGATTGTAACGTTGGATCAACAAGGTGGCATCCCGCCACGGATGACAGCCTGTGATGACACGCGCGACTCTCGAAACAGCGCTGCGTTCCCGCACCAACCCGTTCGTGCGGACCGTTGTGGGGGTGGAAATGAACGGCTCCCGATCGAAGCGCATAAGAAATGGACTGCGGACCTATGCATGGGAGTCGTGATAGACAGCTGTGGTTTCGCCGCTTGCGCTCCCGTCGTTTGGGCTCGCAGAATATACGCGAAGCGCGTATTTCTTTTATTGTTATTTTTGGATAATGTGCGTGTGTGTGTGTGTGTGTGTGTGTGTGTGTTGAGAATGAGTAAGTTTAGGGTGACGATGACGGTCATTAATATGATCGGGACGGTCCGTTGGATCATGGAAGAAGTGATTGTTTGGAAGCGAGACGTGGCATTGTATCTGCTCAGAACATGGGAGGTCATGATATTAATTGTGGCAGCAGCATCATGTGAGCAAGTGTACGGCCAAAGTGGATATGGCTTCGAGGTCATCGGATGCGATCGGAACTGTTGATTCCGTGCTTTCACGTGCGTGCTGTGTGATAGCATCTCTCGGTGTGGGATTGCGGAGGAAGAAGACTCGGTCAGACATAGCAATTTCGAGTCAGATATATAGCGATTGAATCGATTTTAGTGAAGAAACTTACTGTCATCTTTATGATTTGCAGATATCGCGAACGTAAAAACATCCGAGATTAACTATAAAAATATATTTTAGGTATGTTTCTTAATACCAAACCTTCCAATTGTCGACTAATTTAAGTTACCAAGGAGTTTGAATGCTCTCGAGATAATTTTATAGGTTTCGAAAATACGGATAAAAGCATAAAAGAACCTTAATATCAAAAAATTAATATTTTTGAAAAATTTCTATAAAGCACTTATTGTGGAGTGAAAAGAATTTTATCCATGATCTCATCGGATCCACCTCGCCCTCGTATGAAAAAGAAGGGGGCATGAAAGTGACGACTCCTTGTAGTCCATTCTTTCTTTCTCATGGGAAATGCTCAAACAATAACATTAATTATTTGTATAGTAGGCAAAGACGATGAGAGCAAGACAGTGGATTTGATGGAGATGATGAAAGACAATGCAATAGCTAGTTTGCCTAAATTAAGAATAAAATTATTATTTACGAAAAGATAAACACTATATAAGAATTAAGTTGGACCGAAGTTCTCATAGGTCAATATATGATAATATATGATGTTATATTTCTATGCTTAATTTTGGAACATAAAACACTTGATTTGGTTCTGTCTCTCCGTCACACACCGTAACGATGATTTGCAATTGCAATTAGGAGACTCAGTAACGCTACGTGGGGGCGGAAATCCCACCGTTGATAGGTCTTACGCTTCGTTCGGAAAGGTGTCGATCAATTCACAGTACGAATCCGGATGCATAACGGCTGCTTCAAACTGCCCTCGCCTTTCCCTCCCCCCTTCGACTGCGTACCATGCGGCCCACATGGTCGACTTCGGGCTCCGCCTCCTCTCGTGCGCCACTCTCCGCCTCGCCCGGCCGCTCCACGCCCTCCTCCTGGTCTCCGGCCGCTTCGACGACGTCTTCCTCTCCACGAAGCTCCTCAACCTCTACTCCCGCCTCGGCGACCTCCCATCCGCCGCCCTCACCTTCCGCCACGCACCCACCAAGTCCGTCATCACATGGAACTCCATGATCGCCTGCTACGTCCACCATGGTCTCCTCCCGGATGCCCTTGCCTGCTTCCACCGCCTCCTCCTTACCTCCTCCGCCTGCCCCGACGGCTTCACCTTCCCCGTCACCATCAAGGCCTGCTGGGATCTGGAGTGGGGGAAGAGGATCCACTCTCTGGCCTTCAGGTTCGGCTTCGTTTGGAACGTCTTCGTGTCCGCTTCCGTGGTCCATATGTACTCCAGGCTCGGCTCCATCGACGACGCGAGGAAGGCGTTCGAAGAAATGCCTTACAAGGACCAGGGTTCTTGGAATGCCATGCTTTCGGGGCTCTGTCAGAACGGGAAGGCGGCGGAGGCGGCGGAAGTGTTTGAGGAGATGATGATACGGGGGCTGCCCATGAACAAGGTCACCGTGTCGAGCATTCTTCCGGTATGTGCCCCCTTGGATAGCCTTCTGCTGGGCGCTGCCATCCACGTTTATTGTATCAAGCACGGCCTGGACTCGGATTTGTTCGTGTCAAATGCGTTCATCGACATGTACGCCAAGACTGGTCGTCTGGAAGAAGCACAGAAAGTTTTCGACGGGATGACAGATATGGATTTGGTCACTTGGAACTCCATCATCTCAGGTTACGAGCAAGCCGGCGAGTTTAGCACTGCGCTCAAGCTATTTGACGGAATGAAAGAAAGCGGTGTTCGACCCGATCGGTTAACCCTCGTAACCCTGGCTTCTGCGGTCGCTCAGTGTGGGGATGATCGCACCGGCAGGACAGTGCATGGCTACATCTTGAGAAGGGGATGGGATTCGCGCGGCATCGTCGTCGGCAATGCCATCGTTGATATGTACGGGAAGTTGTCGAAGGCGGAGGCTGCTCGTAAGGTGTTCGACAGGATGCTGGTCAGAGACGTTATCTCTTGGAACACCCTGATCACGAGCTATTCGCAGAACGGACTCGCCAATGAGGCCATCGAGATCTACGAGTCGATGCAGAGTCGCGAAGGGATCGCGCCAATTCAAGGAACGCTGGCGAGCGTTCTACCTGCATGTGCGCACGTCGGGGCGCTGCAACAGGGGATGAAGATCCACGGGCGAGCAGTCCGAACCGGACTGCAGTCGGACGTCTTCGTGGCGACTTGTCTCATAGACATGTACGCCAAGTGCGGGAGGCTGGAGGAGGCGACGCATTTGTTCGAGCAGGTCCCCAGAAGGCACACCGGTCCCTGGAACGCCATCATAGCCGGCCTCGGAGTTCATGGGCATGGACAAAGAGCAGTGTCACTCTTCTCCGAGATGCAAGAAGAGGGAGTCAAACCCGACCAGGTTACGTTCGTCTCACTGCTGTCTGCTTGCAGCCATGCCGGGTTGGTGGATCTCGGACGACGATGCTTCGAGCAAATGCAGACAGTTCACGGCCTCTCGCCTTGCCTGAAGCATTACGCGTGCATGGTGGATATGCTCGGCCGAGCCGGGCGACTGGACGCTGCCTACGAACTGATCGCGACCATGCCCGTGAAGCCAGACTCTGGAGTTTGGGGTGCTCTCCTCGGTGCTTGCAGGATCCATGGCAATGTCGAGCTGGGGAAGCTGGCTTCAAGTCACCTGTTCGAGATCGACGCAGAGAACGTGGGCTACTACGTACTGCTCTCCAACATGTACGCCAAAGCCGGGGAATGGGATGGAGTGGATGAGGTGAGAGCGCTGGCCAGACATAGACGACTGCAGAAAACGCCGGGGTGGAGTTCGGTGGAGGTGAACAAGAAGGTGAACGTGTTCTTTACCGGGGGCCAGTCGCATCCTCGTTACGAGGAGATCCAGGGGGAGCTGCGGGCATTGCTGGCCAAGATGAAGAGCATCGGGTACGTTCCGGACTACAGCTTTGTGTTGCAGGACGTGGAGGAGGACGAGAAGGAGCACATACTGTCGAGCCACAGCGAGAGGATAGCGATAGCTTTCGGGATCATGAGCACCTCGCCTGGAACGCCCATCTGCATCTACAAGAACCTGCGGGTCTGTGGAGATTGCCACAACGCGACCAAGTTCATATCGAAGATTACTGAGAGGGAGATCGTGGTGAGAGATTCGAACCGTTTCCATCTCTTTAAAGATGGGGAATGCTCTTGCGGTGATTACTGGTAATCCACGCTGTGTACTCTCTTCCTGCTAATATGTAAAACAAGAGTCATTAGTTAAACAGATAAATGTTAGGAAGCTACTATGTAATTCTTCTCAAAATAATTTATATTACTTCTCTAAAGTCATGTACTGATTCCGGGCTCAACTTGAATGCGGCAATGTGTACCGTGTTCTTCAAGTTTTGTTATTCCTTATCATTGATTAAAACATGCTTTGCACCTCTACAGATCTAGTGAAAATAACAAGAATTGAGCCAAAAGGCAAGTAAATAATTTAGCCTGTAAATTGTTGTGCAAGTAAAACTTCCAAGACTTGAGCTACATAGCACAGCAAAATTACCCAAAACAGGAATTGAGGTGTACTGAAACTAGCTAAACAGTAACTAATTCTGCATCTACAACCACTAAGACTAACAGGCATCAATCAAAGCACTGTAAACCAGATTGTCATCCAAGGCTATCATGTTGAACTGAGTGACGACACTCCATGGATAACTTATTGGCAATTTCAGCCGACCTCAACTGACCATTGTCAGAAATGCTTCAGTACCTGGTCCTGCTTCTTGACCTGCAACAACATAACTGCTCAAGAACCCCGACGTTTGCTAACTTATTGGTACAAAAACCATAGGGTGTGAGGCTCATAACTGTGGGGAATGAGACCGCGATCGAGAATAGTATCCTCTGGGGCTCCTGCTTCTACTGTGGCTTCTGCTGTGGCGACGTCTTCTGTGGAAAACATGCACAAAAATCAGGAGATCAAGATATATATATATAACTTAAAAGACCAGAAAACATCAAGAAACAATGTGAATGAAGCATGGAGAAAGAACAGCTTTAAATTTACAAAATTGGTAAAAGAGCCTCTTGATCACTAGACAATAATAGAGGACAGAAAATCGTCAAGTGTCTTGAATTGCAGCGACAAAAGAATGAAAACACCACTGATATTTCAAAAAAATATTATATAAGTTGGCCGAAGTTTCAAGTAGAAGGCTGCCGGAATGGCAGTAAAGGAGCTCAGAAAACCCATATATCATTTGCAAACACACACATATCAAGTTGTTTAGAGAAGTCACTGATGAGGACTCCAAATTTCTCCAAAGTATCTTCTTAGCTCATTGACAAGAACAAATGTCAAGAACAAGAATCTAAATTGAAATCAAAGTCATGATGTGGCAGTGAAATTGGCGAAGATGAGGCATTTATGGAATATGCAGAGGAAGTGCAATATTACCCAAAGCAGAGATCAACGATGGCCATGGAGTCTTTCCAATGGCTGAATAGACAAGTGAAAGGGACTCGAAAAAATGGCTGAGGATTAAGTGATATATGGTGCTAAAAAAAGGAGTTGGAGTAAGTAGAGGTAAGCACACCGGGTATTAAAGCACACTAAGGGTGGTTGTATTGAACAAACAAGTAAAGAAACCATCAGTTTAGGAAAATGAATTCTAAAATTATATTAGATATATATGGTTATGAGTGCATTAAACCACACACACCTTAAAAGATGAACATGTAATAAAATCTGCAGGGCACCGAGTTGAACGTATAAAACAATAAGTTCAGTATTGAACTGAAACAGTGAGAAAACAACACAGAACTATTTAGCATGGGATGTTCAAAGTGCATGACAAATTTACGTAGAGAGAGAGAGAGAGAGAGAGAGAGAGA